CCACAGTGGGTGGTCAGGGGCCCCGTCCCTACCCCTCACTTACATCCCACAGTGGGTGGTCAGGAGCCCTGTCCCCACCCCTCACTTACATCCCACAGTGGGTGGTCAGGGGCCCCGTCCCCACCCCTCACATCCCACAGTGGGTGGTCAGGAGCCCTGTCCCCACCCCTCACTTACATCCTACAGTGGGTGGTCAGGGGCCCTGTCCCCACCCCTCACTTACATCCCACAGTGGGCAGGATGCTCCTGAAGTCATCCTTCACGTACCGCAGGGCCAAGCTGGACTTGCCCACAGAGCCACTGCCCAGGAGAACCAGCTTGAACACACAGGGCTGGTCAGGGGCGGCCCAGGGCCCGGGGCTCCCTTGCGCCTCCGCCATGGCCTGCAAAGGAACAAACACACTGTCTGAAGCAGGTTGGACAACTGAGGCTGGAACATGGCAGTGAGCTCCCTCCCTGGCACTTCCCCCATCAATGCACGGCCTAGAACAGGGGTCCCAAGTCAGACACCCCCAGGTGGAGCCCTGCTCAACCCTGCACCCTGTGCCCCAACTCCCCAGCTGTAACGTGGGTACACAAGATCTTTTCTACAGGTCTGTCACGAAAAACAAAACTAGCTACACCAGACAAGTGCCCGGCACCAGCCACCACAGACCCTGAGAAACGCTGCTGCCTGCTGGTGGACTCACTGCACACTGTCCTCATCCCACTGCTTCTTTTTACCAACCTGCTACGTCTTCCAGAAACTACCTGAAACACCCAAGAGGTAAAAAGTATCTGAGCACCTCACACTTGTTCATTCATGGGCTAAAGTTGGTGCTTCAATGATCTCAAAACAATGTTCTCCCCACTGTGTCTAAAGCTTTAGAACCCACAGTGCCCTGGAGAAAAGCCAGCTCTATTATCCAAATGTAATGGCTGGACTCTGCATATGTCTCTGTTACAGAAAGCTCCCTGCACACCATCCTCAAGGAACAATCTGCTGGGCCCAGGGACCCACCTCCTACTTCCCCAGTACTCAGCTCTGGCCAAGCTAGTCACCCACATCCCTGGACCTCCCCCCACCAGGTTGGTGTAAAGCAAATCCCAGGCACACACCTTTGCAAACCGCAGTATAGACACAGATTTTTTTCTTCTCTGTGCAGTTGACTCGTGGGAGGAATCAGGCTGCCTTGCCCGGCTCCGGTCTGGATTTGCTGGTTTCGTCCCTGTGTTGTTACTGACTATATTTCTGGGAACCCTGTATTTTCTACGGCTTGGTGGTTCAGGACAGAAGCCTCATCAGATAAGAATGCTTTGGGAGTGTGATGGCTGCTTTCCCCGGGTGGCGAGTAACGCCTGGCTGTCTTCTTACAAGGTCAGTGGTCACTGAAGGCCATTGTCTGGACTTGCTACCTCCCTCGGACACTCCACTGGCATCACTTTGTATTCTATCTGGATGACCTCTAGGAAGAGAAACGGCCTCCAGTCAATATCTGGACCCATCAAGGGGGCAGCTAGTCCTGTGGGCAGGGTCTCCTCTCCCTCCCTCACCACAGCAGCCAAGCGGGAGGTTCCCACAATGAGGACAGGGAGGAATTTTGAGAAGGGAGGAAGAGCAGTGAGCAGGGAGAGCAGCCCACATTACCTCGCTGCCCCAACAAGCAGCCTGGGCCACCACTGGCCGGTCTGGATGCCCTGCGGGGATAAGATGAAAGTAAACAAACAAGACAAAGTCCTAAATACCAGTGACACTGTCCCAGCCACAGAATAACTGCAGAGGTATAGAATCCAGAAGAGAAGAGTCTCAGTGCTTCCACTGAGTGGGGAAAAGGGGTTAACCAGGGCAGACTCCACAGTTGCAGAAAGCACACCTGGGACCCCATCTTAAATGGGAATACACTCAAGCTTCACTTTTGAGTCTGAGGCCAGTCCAGAGAAGGATTAGAAAAATAAAATTGTCTTAAGTTTTCCAACCATGTTTTTGTTTTTATTTTTTTAGCAACCAATGCTGAGAATACTGCCAGGATTTTGTCTAACTTCTTCAGGGCTAAGCACAGGTACCTGGCACATAGTAGGTACTCAGTAAATACCTAAGGAACAAGTAAGTTCCAGCACAGAGGATGAGCACATAATCCAGCACCTGTGTCTTGAGCTGTTTGCCTGAAGTGAGGACAGCTTCTGGGGGCCTGCTGTGGTTTGAATGTGTCCCGTAAAGAGCAGGTGTTGGAAGCTTAATCCTCAATGTCACGGCACTGGGAGGTGGGGCCTACGGGAGATGTCAAGGTCAGGAGGGCTCCATCCCCACGAATGGATCCTTGCCAGTCCTCAGTGGGCTTCAGGCCTAGAGTTCCATCTTTCTCTCTTGCCCGTCGAAGCTTGCTCTCCTGCCGTTCCTCCCTCCTCCACGGGAGATGCGCTGAGAAGGCCTCACCAGGCACAGGCACTGGACCTTGGACTTCCCAGCCTCCAGAACCCTAAGAGGTAAGTCTCTGTTCTTTATAAATTACCCAGTCTCAGGTGTTCTAAGCACCAGGTGGACTAAGACAGGGCCTAACTGGATGGGAACAGGGTCCTGCTGAGAATTTGGCTGAGTTAGCTGGGGACAGGTTCTCAGAGCAGCATGGTGAGGGCTCGGCATGGCCGCCCTGAACATCCACATTCCACAGGCCCACAGCTGCCCAGCAAGTGTCCCGGACAGGCCCATTCTGCTTCCTAATGCCCCACTTGCCAACTCAAGCACCCAAAGCAATTCCCTCCCCAGAGTCCGACTGCTAGCAGAAAATTAAAAATAAAAGAAAAATAAACAACAAGGGCAAATGGGAACGCACCTTGAAACACCAGCGAGCCCTCCCTCCAGGAAGGAAACTAGTCTGTGACACAGCCTGCAAGCCAAAGGGCGCCGCAGAGTCCACAGTTCCAAATGAGTCACCAAGAAAGGTGACAGAAAGGTGCTGTCTCTGATCAGATCCCACCAGGACTGATCCATCCACTTCACTGTCTGAAAATGGGATTGCACTGTCAGATAAAGCCCCTGTGATTTCTCACTTCTCTCCACTTGGCTTAGTGCAAATCTCTCTCCTAACTGGCCTCCCACTGCCAGCCTTGCCCCCACTCACAGCAACTCCTACAAATAGTGAATAAAATAGGCAAAGTCCCTGCCATCGTGAGCCTGCACTTCCCCGCTCCTCTTCTGGAGTGAAATTATCTGTTTTTGAGCCTAATTGGAATAATTCTCTTATTAGTGACTTATCTCTCTGACTGGGCTGTAAGCCTCTGACAAGATCTAATTGTTGTCTTGGTATCTACATGCATTGAGGTTGAGGTATCTATATCTACATCTACATGCATTGAGGTTGCACATAGCACACACTCAGTGGTGACCTCAGGATTGCAGGAGGGGGGCCAGCAGGAAGCTGTAATGGGACCATCTCATCCCCTGTGTGGCTTTCACCACCTATCATACCCCAGGTGCTTGTCAAGCAGTGACTGGGCAGCTGTGGAAAGAGAGAGAAGGGTCTCCAGCAGCCACTGAGGAAACTCAGCTCTGAGTAGCCAAGAAAAGCAAAAAGTCCACCACATGTCCCGCTCAGGTGAGGAGCTGACCAAGACCAGCACATGGGCCCCCATGGAGTAAGCAGGGTGGGTACCTCATAGACCCACCCAGGCCAGCTGCACCGGGCCTCTACTGACACTGAGCAGGACACTCTGGGGCCCCGTGTCAGGGCATCTCACAGGGTGGCCAGCAGCGTTTTCTAGACAGAGACACAGAGTCAAGGCAGGTGGCTGCCACCACTGGGTAGAGAGCGGCAGACAAGCCATCTGCATCAGGATCACCGGCCCAGGGGAACCACCACTGCCACTCACTAGAAACAAGATGGCCAGCTCAGTAGCAAGTCCTGATAAGCCACTTCTTCTTTTTTTTCTTTTTTAAACCCGAGTCTTCCTCAGTCACCCCAGCTAGAGTACAGGGGCATCATCATAGCTCATAGCAACCTCAAACTCCTAGGCTGAAGCAACCCTCCTGCCTCAGCCTCCTGAGTAGCTGGGACGACAGCCGCCCACCACCATAGCCAGCTTGGTTTTCTATTTTTCCTAAAGACAGGGGGTCACTCTTGCTCAGGTTGGTCTCAAGCTCCTGACCTCAAGTGATGCTCCCTCCTCGGCTTCCCAGAGTGCTAGGATTACAGGAATGAGCCACCACGTCCGGCCCAAACCACTTTTAAGCACGGAGTTTTGGAACTCTCCAGGCCACCTTGGGCTCATACCCTGTTTCTTATCGAAGTGCTTATCATAATGTTACATGAGGAGCAAGTCTTGACACAGCCCGAGATATGTTAGTAAGTATTTAAAGATGCCCTTCAAGTTTTCTTTGCCATTTCCTCACACCGATATACAAAACCCATTTCATGTCATGAAAATCTATGGCCCGAAACACATCAGAATTCGGTAAAATGTGAACAAATACACCAGACACAGCATCTTAATCCTCTGACAGTGACTCATCATCTCTTTGTTTAAAAAAATGTTTTTTAGTATAAATATAAACATATAATTATCAACATATAAAAAAACTACTCATAACCTCACACCCCGAGCACAATCATAAGTGTTGTTTTTGTCTACTTTAAGTTTTTCCTATGATTCTTTAAAAAAAAATAGCATTAACATAAAATTATACTTATTCTATCTTTTTAAAAAGCTTAACAAACATAACATTCCTACAACTATCCCAATCTGCCGGACCTTTTTCCTATTACTAGATTTTCACTTGGTTTTGATTTTTTTCTCTGGAATAAAACCCGGCTGCAGTAAACATTTTCACGTGTGATTCTTGGTGTGCCCATGTGTTGTAAGCTTCCAGTAATGAAAGGCTGGAGCCCTCCGTTCCAAGAGAAAGTTGAAAGTGTGGCACCTGGCGTGGCCTCCAGGATACAGCCAACCTGGGCTTCTTGGAAGACAAAGATGAGGCTTCCCCAACAATCCTGATTTGGGGCTTTTTTCATCTCTTACACCTCCATTCCACCAAGGGGAAAGAAAAGACAGCAGACCTCAACTAGTCTTTCTATTGGGGGTGAAGGGACCATTCCTGGGGACCTCTGGTTTGGCGAGATTGTTGCTGGGGGAGCTCTGTGTCCCACCCTTGCCCAGGCTCCTGAAGACTGAGGTGATCATTCCCACTGTTATGTTGCTTCCAGAACAATGTGGCCATTTGATACAGAAGAAAAATAAGATGTAGATTTTAAAAGGTAATATTGCAAGAAAATATGACATGCGCTTTGGACATCATGACTCTAGACTATTTCTGGGTCACCTGAAATGGATTCTTCGAAGGGCTTCTCTTCATTACCCTCATTTTCACTCCAGGCCTTTACCTGCAATTTCCCTTAAGGAAAATTTAAATAGGAATTTCCTTCCAAGAATCAACTTAGGGAGCCACCAGGGGTCTAAACACGAGGACCTCTGGCCCTCAGAAAAGCAAGTGCCTCTGCCCAGCTTTGCACCTTTGACAACGGACGCTTGGACACTCTCAGACACACAGACACACAAACACACGTGCAGACACACACAGACACAAACACACACACCCACACACACCCTGCCAAATGGCCAAATGCACAGAGATTTAAACAATGACTCACCTGTCTCAAGCCTGGTCACTTCCAGGGAGCCAATCAGCCTGTTATCACCGGTCCGACAGGGCCCCTGCCATGTTCAGTTCTCCTTCCGTATGGCCTGGGGAAAGGTTTGCTTTCCTCTGCGGGTGGGCAGGGCACCAGGGCAAAACAGAGCCCAGAGCAGGAGCCAGAAGCAGAAACCTTGGGCCGGGGTGGTGCCTGCCCTGCCCCCAGCCTCAAGGTCAGGCCTCTTCCCTTCCCGAAAGGCTCCAGAGCAAAGTACACCACAGTCATGTGGCCACCTGGGGCAGGGCAGAGCAGGGGGCTGGACCACAGAGCAGGTGATCTGAGAGCACCTGGGCACCCCGCCGGAAGTCACATTCTTGCCTTGGGTTTACTGGCCTCCGGCTCAGTTTCCAGCTTTGTTGCAAGGTCTTTCTTTGGGATGTAACATTTTTCTTGGCTCTTTCTTCAGAGCTCTATTGAATCTTTGTTGCAACTGAAAACTAACAGTGGGGAAGAGAAGATGGGTCAAATGAATAAATTCCTTCAGCAAACAGCTGAACACCCTTGCCGGCCCTGCGTCCAGATCCAGAGGCTGGGGTGTGGGGCTGGTGCAGGAGGCAGGTCCTAGGCCCGATGCCACCTGGGGGCAAGTTCGGGGGTTCAGGACGCAGGGGAGAAGCAAGAGGACCTCCTCCTGGTCTTCCCAAATTCTTCTCGAGACTAGTCCAGGGATCCCCTGGCTCAGTGGTGATCTAACAGCCTCTTCCAGATGAAATTTTCAGAGTATGTGAGGATGGCTGGGGTAGCGGGTTTGGCCCAGGGCTGAGGAAGATGAAAATTCAGCTATCAATGTCAGTTCACAGAATCAGTGGCAGGAAGCTGCATCTTCATGTCCTCACGACCCACCTTAATTCCTAGTGCAGGTCCCCTCCCACTGTGCTGCTGGAGTCAAGTTCCATCATCGCCTCAGTTTCCCCCTGCCCCATGGGAGGGGTGGGTCTCACTTTGCAGAGGGCACCTGCCCTGGCTCCTGCTGATCTCATCGCCCCTGCAGGACCCGTGTCTGCCTGCTGTGTCCATACAACCCCAGGCAGGGGATTCTCCCTCAATGAAACCACTTTGCTGGCCTTGCGGCCAGGGACTTCAGAACCTGTTTCCCTTTTTGAGTGACACTATCATCCCTCGCCCCTAGACTGGTAACCAGAGGTCTGGAAGGATGAGGCGTGCTCCACCAGTAGCTGGCATGGTGAAGGGCCAAATTTTGCAATGTATGAGTGTGCTGGTCTCTTCTAACATGGAGGGTCTTCTCCACAGTTATTTTGAAGCACCTACCTTCCTGAAGGGTTGGGGGCGCAGACTGGAAAAAAAATACAAATACAATCATACAGAGAAATTCAGAGATAAAATTGTTAACAATCAGCTTCTTGTCCCTAAAATGGGAGTTGTATGCCCACAGTCGGACAACATGCTTGCTCAGCTCAATTGTGACCAACACAGATTCTGTTAGGGAGGGTCTAGACCTGGGCGGGGGGATCCGGGGCAGAGGAAGGGAAGCCACCCATCTAGCCCCAGGATTGGGGAATAATGGGGAC